TATGGAACCACATTCTATGAACCCCAAAGCAGGGCATATTTTATACATGGAGAGACAGATGGCTGACAGTGTGACAGGATATTTAAAATTTGCAAAATTTTAGAAAATCTGAGATACAGAAAACCATTGCCAGACAGAAGGACGAGAGAGTACAGAACATTATTTTTACCCTATTCGGTTGAATATTCCATTATTTTTAATTTCTATGAAGAACCTAGCTTGATTAATATCAGGGAAAAAAACATTGTAGTTTTGGAAATGTAATTGCACATAAACTCTGTCAGCAGGCCTGCCATTTGACATGCTTAGTATCTTTAGACATAAAACATTAAAAATCAAACCCCTAACGGTATCTACTCATTAGGTTGTTTAATACTCTTGAACACCATAATTCAAGCCAGGGATTGGACAGTAAAAGCCTTAAAAAATGTAGTTGTTGAGAGCAACTGTTATTCAGTCACTGAAAAAATACTCTCTCCTTTTGGCAGAAATTGTCCTTTGGCAACAGAAAGTATCCTTCTTTTTTCCTCCACAAAGCCTCAAAAATGGTGAAGTTGAGCTGAATGGATGTCTTTAGTACCTACAACCAGGAAAAGAATGTGTTTCTCTGAAATATAGTGAAAAGTCCTTAGAAAACTGGGTTAGGAAAGATTTGAACAGATCTCTTTTCTTACACTGCAAAAAGCCTTTAGTTCGTCATCTTATCTTAAAGGAGGATCAGCTTGTAGCAAATTCAATTTCCTTGCAGGAATTACAAATTGGTTATAAAGCAGGAAACAGAAAAGAGTGCTACATCTGGTCACAGTAATTATTTGCCATTTGTTAAGATATTTTAAACATTAATTAATCCTCTTAAACAGAGCTGAGGAACCTAGTCTTTAGTTGGTTTATGTTAAGAAGAGTGATACCTCTCTTTTGTAACAGATTTATTAATAGGCATTCACTTTGGTACATTTATGGTATATCAAGTAGAGTAATGATATTTGTTTGATTTCACCAAGCATAAAATGAATTTGTGTTGAACTCTCTAATAGCTGAGGATTTGATTTGACATTCAGGTTGATGGTATCTTAGAGAGGCCATTTTGTAGGTACAGGTTCCTTGTGATCTCACCTGTGCCTAACATGTGTCCTCATTGACTGCTATTTCCTCCTTTGCATTTTCATTACAAATGGATGAGAACTACCTGGCTCCCAGCCAGCCAGAGCATAGTTCATTATTCACATTTGTTCCCTCTGTGTTATAAAATGTCCACTCCTTTACCTAGCTAACTCCGACTGATACTTCAAGACTGAGCTAGTGCCATCTTCTCCAGGAAGCCATTCGTAACCAGCTGGTCTGGGCAAATCTCCACACAATCTTTATATCAATGTGGGTCACGCTAATGTGTCTGTTTCCCCGGAAGGACTGTAATATACAGGAGTCCCCTTTATCTGCAGTTTCATTTTCCATGATTTCAGTTCCTGAGGTCAACTATAGTCAGAAAATATTGAATTTTCTGGAAAATTCCAGTAATAAACAACTCATGCATTTTAAATTGTGTGCCTTTGTGAGTCGTGTAAAGAAATCTCATGCTATTCAGCTCCATCCTGCCCAGGACGTGAGTCATCCCTTTGTCCAGCTTATCCGTGGTACATTTGCCCCCTATCGACTAGTCAATTAGGAGCCATTCTGGTTATCAGGATGACTGTCGCAGAATTGCATTGCTGTGTTCAAGTAATCCTGATTTTACTTAACAATACTTGATTCATAATAATTATTAGTATTATTGTTAATTTCTTACTGTGCCTAATTTATAAAATCAACTTTATCATATGTATATATGTATAAGAAAAAATATATATTTTATAGTATATATTTTATATATATAAGGTTCATTACAATCTGTGGTTCAGGTACCCAATGGGAGTCCTGGAATGGATTCCCTATAAGATAAGAGAGGACTCCTGTGCTTGGACATATGACCACTATGTTTTGAATCCTCAATGCAGTCTGTTGCTCAAGTACCTTATGCAATTAAGTAGCTAATTACTCACTGGAGTACATCGGTTAATATAAAACCTTTCCTGCCTCTGGGACTTACAGTTTATTAAGAAAAATATACAAATAAATATATGATTCTAAGGCAATACAACAGCATAAAACAGAGTGGCATAACTTAGACTTGGGATCACGTCAAGTATTTGGGTAAATAAAATTTGAAACCTGAAGAATGAGTAGAAGTTACTTAGGCAAAGCCTTTGGGGTAGCTGGAGCATTGCAAATAGAATTTTTTTGTGTGTGAGTACCTGTATTATTATGTTTTAGAAATGCCCACAGTAGTTTAGTGAGGAATATTTTACATATAGTAAGATGAATATTTTACATATAGTAAGAAGTAACATTTCAGGGTACTGCTTGAAATGTTAACATGTGTTTATATTTATGTAACCTCCACCCAAATCAAGATAGGGAACATTTTTATCTCTTCCACAATTTTTCTTGTGCCCCTATTCTAGACAATTCCACCCCAGGAAGTAATTACTTTTCCAGTTTCTATCACTCAATATGACGCATTTAAAGACATGAAAAATGTTCAGAGTCACAAATTTAGGTAGGAAGGTTGCCAGAAGAGAGAGAGGGAGGAGAACGCAGAGGTAGGCAGGTAACAGATTATGGAGAGTCTTGAGGATCTAGTTCAAGATTTGGGCTTTTGGCCTATGTGAAAAAGTAGCTGTTGAAAATCTGAGCATGAGGGTGACAGGACTGGATTGACGTATCAACAGCTGTTCTGCTTGAAGGACATTAAGACTGGAAGTAAAGGAGCCAGTTAGGAAGCTAGCGCAATATTCCAGGGGAGAGATAATAATGGCATGAGCAAAGGAATAGCATGTAGATAGAGAAAAATCAGTGATTTAAGATATATCTTGAAGTTTATAGATGCTCATAAACATTTATTAAAATAAACAGTATTATTTTAGAAAAAAGTATCATTTAAAAATTCAATTTGCATTTAAATAGTTAATGTTGCTGAAGGCTATGGAGATAGTCCCTTAATTTTAAATGATGTTTATTGTTTTCTAGGCTGGCAAAGTATACCTTATAATTAATTCATTATTTTTCCACCAACAAAGGGAATATTGCATAGAATTTTCTATTACACCTAGCATATTGCCTTTTGGCCATGAAAAAGATTTTTCATACTTCTTTATAGGCAATTTTAATTAGTTTAAACTTATTACAAAACATAGACATTTCCATATTGCTTATTCACATTCCCCAAATATGACTGACTTTGCTGGAAGAAAAATACCAGTATTTATATATCTTTAAAGAGATATGCTATTGAACATTTCTACTATTAGATTATGACTGAATTATTTAAGCTAATTAATTCTATGCTAAAAACCTTGAGTGAAACTTGCATGCTACTTAGTTGAACATACCATCAAATTCACCAAAAATACATGTTATTTTGTTTGGTTTTCCTCCTTTGAACAATCAAGGTCATTTTCCCATTGAAAAGCATAATCATTTTTTGTTTGTTTGTTTCTACATTTTGAAAACTAGATACTTGTGTCAGACTCTTTATCCAATTGGTATAACAGAGTGATAAAATGTGGTAAAGTTACTCTCTTAGTTTTCTAGGGATGCTGTAACAAAGTACCACAAACAATTCGATTTAAGACAACAGAAACTTGTTGGTTTAAACTGGGGTGATTTAAAACTCAGAAATTTATTGCTTCACAGTTCTGGATGTCAGAAGCTCAAAGTCCAGGCAGGGCCATGCTCCCACTGAGAGTCTGGGAAGAATCCTTTCTTGTCTCTTCCTAACTTCCAGTGGTTTTCCTGCAACCTCAGTGTACGTAGGCTTGTAGCTGCCCCATTGCAGTCCTCTGCCCTCACATGGTCTCTCCCTGTGTCTCTCTCTGTCTCTTCGTTGGATGCTTCTTTTAGAAGGACACTAATCATATTAAATTACGGGTTCACTCTACCCAAGTATTACCTCATCTTACCTAATTTAATCTGCAACAATGTATTTCCAAATAAAGCCTAAGGTACTGAGGGTTAGGGCTTCAGTATATCTTTTTTTTTGGGGGGGGGGCATAATTAAACCCATAGCAGTTACCAAAACTGATGAATGTAAAATAATCTGCCGCTAGGGAATTACCTACCAGTCACTCTTTCCATTTCCTTTCTACATTTTCTACACTACTACATTACATGTAGAAATAACTAAAGATACGAAGAGCTTATGTGTGTGTGTGCGCGCTCACTTCTACAGACATGGATTAGACCCCGTCACTGATAACCAATGGAGTCATGGAGAACCATGCAAATTGTGTTTTACATTTCCATGTTTAGGTCATTTTTTACTGAGGCATGCATAGTCGTTGGCAAAATTTTCTTAGAGTGAGCTGTGCATTTTGTTCATAATATCAATGCTATTTTCCATTCCCTTTCTCTCTCTAGTGTGATTTAATTTAGGCAAAATAAAATTGAATTCTGATGGATGGCTTTTATTTATACAACCCATAAGATGGGTTACCAAATACCAAAGTGCTTGACAATCTGGTTTAGGGCGGATTTCAACTGCTGCCTCCTTACACTTGGGAATATGCATCATTTGTAGTGATTTTCACTACTCTTGACAGGTGATCTGAATAATCCGGTTGCTCTAGTTCTGAATTTCCTCAGTAACCTGATTTGTTTCCACTCAGTTCTCTGGTCATTTGGCAATATTTGATCAATACTTAATGTACATCCACTGGACACCAAGCACAAGGAAACAGAGGTGAACTTTAATATTTACGCTCAAAGATCTCTCCTTAAATAACTAAATAAAAGGCTATTTTTCTTGGCTACTTTTCTGAATAGCTTGCACATTGGATTATGGTGTATCAAATATAAAAATGAGTTCAACAGACAAAGGAGATGAATAAATATATCAGGGGTATGCTAAAGTTATTCATGATTCTGCATTTGTGATTCATATTTGTTTGTATATATTTTTATTTCAGCTGAAAGAGACATCAGTGTCTATTGTGGGGTGCAGGCCATTACAATGAAGATTAATTTTTGCACGGTACTTTTCTCGGGTTATTCGGAAACAGATCTGGCCCTGAACGGAAGGCACGGGGACTCCCACTGCCGAGGGTTCATCAATAACAACACCTTTCCAGCAGTGGTCATTTTTATCATCAATCTCAGCACCTTGGAGGGCTGTGGAAACAACTTGGTGGTAAGATTAGTGTGAAATTCTGTGCTGGGTCTGGGGTCATAAATAAAAAATCTCCCCATTTCATGAAAGAATAAGACGTCCAATCTATCTCTTAAGGAAAAAAAAAAATACAATGAAATTGAACAAATAACTTTCCTTTGCCTGTTTGAGGCATGCACTCCCGAAAATACAATTCTATCTTCCCATAATGGTTCTGCTTATAGTATGGGGCAGTCAAGGGGCTTGAGGTCAGCTGTGCTCCTCTAAGCAGCATGATTTTGTGTGAGCGACGTTGATGGATCTGTCTTTACAGTGTAGCGTTAGCCATATTCCTCGTGCTTTATAAGAAAGTATCTGACCATTCAAACAATGTTTGTTCCAGTGAGTCTGGCAGTGAGCCACTTGGCTTGCTGCGTTAGTGACCTCATTTAGAAAGAAAGGTGAAAGATAGAATGGGAAGCTTGTAATCTTCTTTCATGCTTACCATTGAATGATCAACACGAGTGCTTTGTAACAAGGGGCTGTCAGTATTTCTGGTACAATATTATTAAATGTGTGGGACTGTCCTTTGAATTTCTAAATATTTATCATATCCAGTCTTACCATGAAATCCCAGTAGCACACTATCTCTAATCATTGTGAAAATGGAAACATCTCTTTAAACATTTCCACCCTGAATTAGAAATACTAGTTTGTAGCATTCATTTGTTTATGAATGCATTGAACACCAAAAATAGAATTGAATAAGGAATTGACTTTCCAGCGAACTAAAATTAATTGAAGTGAGTATATTGTGATTTGAAGGGAGTATTAAATAGTTACACTGAAATTCATTTGCTATTTTTTATTTTGCTTATTTAAATATAATCGTATTGGTAAATTAGCAAATATGAAAAAGGAAATGCAATAAACTTGATCACTTAGCCCAGGGAAGGAGATATTGACTTTTCTCTTTACAAGTTATTATTTTGTATTAAGGAGAAAGGATTGATTATTCCAAGGCCAGGGTTTCTAAGACTTGGTGGGAGATGGAAGACAGAGAAAATAGATTTCTTTGAATCTTCTTCTTTATCTTTTCCCAGAGGGCTTTTAGAATATTGTGCCCATGACCGTTTCCAAACCTGCAGCTTGAGTATTGTTGACTCTTTTTATTAAAAACGTTTATTCAACTCTGTGAGTTGTGTGCAGAGAGGTTATAAAGTGGGCCTAAGGGAGAGTGATGCAGGTTGATTATTACAAGTCCCTGTTCTGTGTGGAGGGAAAGAGCCTATGTGGAGATGAGCAGCATTTCCACGTCTCTCACCATGCCCTAAGCCTTTCCTTCGCTTTCTTGTCTGAATGCGTCATCTTACCCTGCTGCCTAGAAAATGATTCAGGAGAAAAGCCGGGAAAAGTGTGCAATGCGTGTGCTGTTTACCTTTTTAAAAAGCTGAGTAAATCTGCTATAAAAATGGCAGTGGCTCATGCCTGTAATCCCAGAGCTTTTGGGGGCAGAGGTGGGCCGATCACCTGAAGTCAGGTGTTCGAGACCAGCCTGGCCAACATGATGAAACCCTGTGTCTACTAAAAATACAAAAATTAGCCAGGCATGGTGGCATGTGCCTGTAACCCTAGCTACCTGGGAGGTTGAGGAAGAAAAATAACTTGAACTTGGGAGGCGGAGGTTGCAGTGAGCTGAGATCATAACACTGCACTCCAGCCTGGGTGACAGAGTGAGACGTTGTCTCAGACAAAAACAAAAATTGCTATATGTATGTATGTGTGTATATTTTTTTTCGTAGACATAATTGGTTTGTTTAGCTGTTGAATCAAGCAAGTACTGGGAGGAGGGGAAGATTTGCTTATCTTTCATTTTTTGCCGTAGATTCTACCAGCTTTGGCAACTGCTCTAAGGGCGTTCTGCATGGGAAAAAATTAAGTAGGCTACTAAGTCGTTGGATTGGAATCAAGATGTTTTCATTTGTAAAGACTCTTGTCCCATTTATAAATTAACTAGGTAATTGCCACAGCTTTACCCATGTGCTGTTAGGTTCATGCATTAAGTTCACTCTGTTGTTGAAAATCATCATAGATCTTAGTAATACACTAGTGTCTGCTAAAATATTTATTGAGTGCCCTCTTGTATTTGACAAGGTAGAAGAAGCTAGAAGAACTCTCTGGTATTATGAAGGTCAAAGAATTATTGATTATTCCTAAAATGGTGGACCTAAAATTTTAGTAAGACTGGAGAATTCAGTGAAAGATAAGCAGACCCAAGGAAATATACAGGGATAACATTTTTACATAACTTCTGAAAGTTCATGAACCCACAAATCCATCTATAAACTATTATCCTAGAAGTTGATAAGCATCTTTATGAACCAGAGAGAAAGACCCTGAGAAGATTAATCCTCAGAAAATGTATGACCTTCATTCATTTGTTCAAAAATCATTTCGGGGGCCCAAGATGCTGGTAACTGTGATATGCTGAGTTTGCAAAGGTGGACAAAATGGTCCCTGTCCATGAAGAGCATCGATGATGGCTAAGGGAACTGCCCAGAGGGCAGTCTGCTTTTGCTCTGCCTACTAATGTGATAGACATAAACACTGCATGTGGGAAGTCAGGGGAAATTCCTAGGGAAGGTGAGATTCTGAGGAGGAGTAGGATACGTTATGGGAAAGTGGGGAGAGTGACAGCATTATTGTCAAAATTTGGAGTCTGGAGATACGAAGCTAACAGGGAAAAAGGATCAGATNTTTTTTTTGCCATGCCAGAGAATTTTGCCATCATCCATAAGTGTTTTCAGATTACTTATTGTAACCCTCTGAACCTATAATCTCTCCTCTTTCTTTTTTATAAAGTATAAGTAAAATGTCTTTAGTAAATATGAAGTTTCATTTATACATGTTACTTATAAATTGCATTTCGATTGTATGATTTCAAAACCTTCTCATTGTACAGTTGAATTAGATCCTAGAATTGATCTTGCTTAATGTTTTATTTTGCATATGATGTGCCTGGATGTATATACAGCCATTTAATCATTAAACTGCATCTACCATTCTAACAGGTATCCACAATTTCTGGAGTCAGTGCTTATGGAAATGCAACTTCAGTACAAATAGGAAATATTTCAGGATACATTGATACTCCAGACCCACCAACAATCATCAGCTATCTACCTGGGCTTCTTTACAAATTTAGTTGTAGTTATCCATTGGAATACCTGGTTAATAATACCCAGCTTGCTTCGTAAGTTTGCATTTTATTCCTGCTTTCTCATATTGAATTTTTGCTTCAGTCATTTCATATTTTTCAGGGACTTAGAAAGGTAGCAGGATTTATTGAACATAGTTAAATTGAAATAATGTAATGGGAAGCATATTAGGTCATATATATATATATATATATATATATATATATATATATGATGATCCATAAGAGACCCAAACCATTTTTTCCCCAAATTAAGCTAATTCAGACTAGCCAGTTGTTTTTCTTGGGTTCTCTTCACTCCTTTGCCCAAGAGCTTTGAGAGCTTTTGCAGCCCTGAAGGCCCTGTAATGTCCCCAGTGTGTTGGCATTTGGTAACTGCATTGCTGAGTTTTGCTTGGATTCCCTCTCTGCCATATGCTTTCACTGCTGGGCTCCGCTGTCCCAGATCCTGGGATCTCCATTCCTCTGTTGAGCTGTCAGCTGGATGGGTGCTGATGATTCTCCCAGAACCATGGCATGGCCGATGGACATGGAGCTCCAAATATGGACTGAGAATGTAGCCTTTTGTTTATATCCATGTATTCATTTTTCCCAAAGCACATACTCCAGGAGAGGGCTATGTCCACATTACAATATAATCGCCTTGATTTGTTGAATATTTTTGACAAAATGGGATGATTAAGTGAATGCTTTCTCCAATTTGGGGGTTTGCTATTATTAAGTCTCAGTTATTGCTTAATCTTAGTTATGAGGAAATGTGGAGGCTACATTGTATTTCAGGGAAAAAAATATTCATAGCTGGTTTTAATAGTACAGTGATGACAAAGACCTTGGTCAGAAGCAAGGCTTTGATGAGGAAAATGAGAAAGGAAAGGCCTTGAGTCAAAACAATATGGGTATACAGGGAAACATCTCTTCCTCTGCCCCCCGCTCCCCACACTGAACACATTCCTGAGCTTTATTCAGATCCATGGAAATTCACTGATTATTCAATTTCTCACTTACCTATTATTTACCATCCAATGTTCTAGCAATGAACAAATTAAAACAAATTCTCTGATCTCATGAAACTTCTATTCTAATGAAATTGCTGAAAGTGTATTTGTATCAGATTCAAGGCTTTATCTGCCAAAAGTCTAAGAGTAATGCACAACAAACAAAAAGATCACTTTAAAAATAAAATGATCATAAAGCACAGCTTGTCTTTACTTGTTCCCTCTTGCTTTTTGTTGTTTTATCTGTTCAGAGATTTAAACAGTATAGCAACTCCAAGCATAATTAATAGTATGTCAGAATTATTCAGGAGTTTTAGTGCTTTAAATGTAACACCTAGATATCACTTTTACTTTAACATCTCATGAGTGCTTTCCTTTTTCTAAATGTGTTTTAGGTCCTCAGCTGCTATTTCTGTGAGAGAGAACAATGGCACCTTTGTCAGCACTTTGAACCTACTTCTTTATAATGTAAGTTGATGGGTGAAGGATGTTATTTTCTCTTTCACTGTTGTGAGGAGTCATTTCTGTAAATGGCTTTTATATAAAAATCTACTGAAAACCACATTAACCCTGTTATGTCTTGGTAACATTTATGTATTTTTGCTACCATTCTCATATATCTTAGTGATAAAGGTGTAATAACATCTCCATTAAATTTTCTTAAAGTTGATAAATGATTTAAATTTTATTTCAAAAATGTGATTTTAAATAATAACTTCAAATGTCTATCTACATTTATGTATTTATTTGTTTATTTAGGTAGAGGTGTGTGAGTAGCTACAGTTAGCTTCAAGATTTGGGAAGTAATTTTTTTATGTGTGATACAAAGATTTTAACAGTACAAATGGTGTTTCCCTTGGAGGCATCTTTTGGTGATGAATGTGTTAATATTTTTGATATGGGTTTTGGCTGATGACAATTCTGTCACATATGAAATAATTTGGATTGACTACATAGCATTGTCTAAATTTTTGTCATGCAAATATTGACAGTGGCAGCAAAACGTGAAAAACACATGGATTTCTATTTATAACTGTAACACTAATCCCCCAAATGGTATTTTCACGTTGATTAAAAATTTTTATTCATACATTTTAAATGCCTGATTTAAATATCAATTTTTCAATCTATCCACCAACATTTTTGTAAATTATGAATCTGATTTTTACATTATTATTCATGCCGTCATGGCGCTGAGTTATAATTCATGCAACTGATTTAAAAGTCAGTGCTTTATACTTTGAATATAATGAGCTATAAATATTGTAGGAGGACATTTTCCAAAGGCATTTAAAAAAATCATGTTTATAAGTTTGTAGTCTGACACCACAGAGTTCTAAACAACAAATTAAAATGTGTTAGAATCAACATTGCTTTTCTGTCGTTTCTCAACTTTCTTCTGCAAAGAGAAGCTGCCAAGATACATGATTCTATAATACTCAGCAAACGTGCGCCAATATCTGTTTTTGATATGGCCAGACATCTACTATTGTTGTTAAGAATATTTATAGGACTTTAAACTGGAAAATTTCTATCTGTTAATTTACATGCATAAGCTCTCTGAGATAGAGTTGAGATTACTAGTTGGATTTAATATTATTTATTATAATTGAGTGAGACAAAGATGAGAATTCCTGATTCTAAAAAAGAAAAATATATATCCATATGACATTTAATGATACTATTATTTTCTGTGAAATTAAACTATTCTCTCATTGAAGTAGCAGAAAATCAAAATTTAGAAATGTGGATTTCAGGAAAGCTTTGTTATTAAGATCTTTCTTTTATTATTAGAGATGATATTGTAGCCTGTTGCTAACAAAGTATGAACTTCAAAGAATCTCTGAAATTTTAATGCTTAAAAATGTCTATAATTTGATGATAACCTTAATATTTTAATTATACAGTAACCAACTTTTTGATATTAGACTACAAGTGAAATAGATATTGTCCAAATACTTCTCATTTTAAATCAGCTATAGAGCAGTTTTAGTTTGACAGAAAAGTTGATCAGAAAATAGAGATCCTTCCCACACATAACCACCAGCCTTGGACACATTTTTTTTCTATTATGTACATCTTGTATTAGTGTGATACATTTGTTAGAACTGATAAACCAATATTGATACATTATTAACCTAAGTCCATAGTTGACATTTCTTTTGTGTTTAGGCTACTCTTCCTCTTGTACATGCTATGGGTTTTGACAAATATAAAATGGCATTTGTTCATCATTTCTGTATAATACGGAAGAGTTTCAATGCCTCAAACAAAATTTTTTAACACAGTGTCATCAGTATTTTCCATGTTACAGGATATTTAAAAATTAATAATTTACACAAGAAAAAAATTTGGGTATACTTTCATTAGTTGATCCAAAATCATATTTATCATTTGTTTGGAATATTAACATGTAGCTAGCCAGATGTAATTTTTATTGTAGCATTCCAAATAAAATATTATAATTTTTAGAAGCCATTAATTCCTATTTCACACACAAAGTTTTTATTTCTAACCCTTGAGGATAATGAAAACTTATATTACATCCTTACTACTTTCATTTTCTGAATTGTTATTTGGAGAGGAAAAGTTGTACCCAATTCGATGTAACACCATAATTTATTTTATGTGTTCTGGGATTTATGTATAAGTATCTGAGGGTAAATTATATTTAGAAAACCAATGACTTCTATCAACTATGTGATTTTCATTGCAAACTACTAGTTGAATTGTGGCTTTATTTGGTGCGGTATAAATATGTCAGTTTTGCTCATTGTGGAAATGGAAAGTAAGGATGCCTTTGTGTATTGGAATTCTACCTAAATGTTAGATTCTTCTAAGAGAGTGGACAATCAGCAAATTTTAGATAAGGTTATTATAATCATGAACATTTTTTAACTATTGGAGAAAAATTAAAATGGATATAATTGATTTTAGGGACAATATATTACTGAGTAAAAGCCACCATACAAATTGAAGCAGAAAAATTAACTCTTAGAAGAAATTCCAGCAGGAAAAAAATGATGATTCATAATTGAACCACAGCTGGATCATACACCACTTGCAAAATGACTCAGCAATATAATATTGTAAAGAAAGTAAGCATTCTTCTGGACAACATTGATGCAAATGTAAGATGAAAAGGCTGCATTGTTAATGAAGTGTAGATTACTTAGAGAAGTTGGAAAAGGGAGCCTGAAAGATAATTACATAAAAATACTCCCTATCAGACATTATCATTTATCACCAAAATGTAGAAACCAAAAGACTGAAGAGGATCACTTTTTAAGTATAACATATCTCTTATTTATTTGGCTTTGTTTGGGAATAAAATGTTCCATATTCACATTTTTTTTTTCAAAATAAAGCATCCAAACTATTACTGTTTTAAATTATAAAATTCAAAATACGTTGCTTTCTTCCAAGCCTTTTAAAGAGAGTATGGTTGATATGTTGTCTTTCTTGATGACTTTAAGATTTTATAAGGAACATTAAAAACTTTTCTTTGCCGCCAAACAGCAATGTCTTCAGAATTACTAAGTTTAGAGAAACAATTGTCCTCTGTGTTAAATGATGTGACTGCTTAAACTTGGAGGGCTTTTCTGGTTTGATTTTGCACTCTACTTTTTCTGGTTTTCTTCATTATCAAATTATACCTGCCACTTCTTAATTTCTAATTTGATGCTTTAATCTACTGTGGATTTGAGAATGATACAAATAAGCTTTCTAGAATTGGTCTAAAATAAGGGTTGAAAAGTAAAAATGAAGTCCTGAGATACCCTTTTATAAGTGACCCCTAAGGAATTTGTGCAGGAACTATATGGCATGTATTTTAGCAGCTTGGAGATTGTGTTTGTCTCAAAAGCTGTCTCTTGCCCTATGAACAATATAATGTGCATTTACCTCATTTTGGTTTCCTGTGTATTATTATTTAAAGTTTGTATCTTGAAGATATTGTTATATTCTAGAAATTTGGTTCCTCTGTACTTTCTCCTATTATGCCTAGAAGAAAATTTTTGTTCTTGTATGACTTTAAAATGGTCTTACTTTGGTTTTCAATTAAATTTTAACAATTTCAAATTGCCAGGTAAGTGATTTTGGGGAAATAAAATATTAGCAGAAGTATAAGACCTACAGTGCCAACAGCAAAGGGCTTAAACTGAAGCAGATGTAATTTAAATAAACTGAATATTAGTCTCTAATATAATGCAAATGAATGGAATATTAATTTAAGTAAACTAAATATTGACCACTGAATATTTACCAAACTGAATATTAACCAATGACTGCTGGTTATAATTTAGATATAATAACCAATGACCACTGAATATAATTTAGATACACTGAACATTAGCCACCATATATGATAAACTATGAAAAAAAAAGATTTATACATGGAATCAATTTGTTACACAGATATGGCTTAGTAGCAGTTCTGTCAAGAAACATGAGGGTTACATAAATCCTTTTTGGATTGGTTCTGTAGATTTATGTTTGTTTATTTTCTCTTTTATTTTCTAACATTGTTATTTTAAGTGGTAAGTGTGCTGTTGTTGGGAAAGCAATGATAGACTGTTTATTGTTTCGTCATTAGGATTCGACCTACAACCAGCAGTTAATTATCCCCAGTATAGGATTACCTTTGAAAACCAAAGTATTTGCAGCTGTACAAGCCACTAATCTGGACGGCAGGTATTTTCAAACTCTTATCTTTTGTAGGTTAAAACACTTTCACTGCCTAAACCCTCATGAGTCATAAAGTTAGCCCATTGATTTTTAAACTCAGTTTGAAAAATATTGTCATTACCACAGCATTTAGGCATGCTACTAAAAAGAAACAACAAATGACAAAGTTTAAGAGGTGACACTCATGTTCTGTCATTACTTGGAAAATAACAAGTCTTCCCATAAAGAAAGGGAGTGGTTCTTGGAAGCTGGCATGGGGAGATCTGGGATGCCGGAATGTTTTATTTCTTCATCAGAAAGATGATTAACCAGATATAGTCATTTTTGTGAACACTTGATTTGCTTGCTTTTCCATATGTATGTTACTCTTCAATATAAATTTATTAAAGAATGAAAGGACTATTTTCATAAGAATCTGTGTCAAAATTACATAAAATGGTCCCCAGCAATATCTCTGTTAAAAAAAAATAACTATCATATTTTAGATGATACTTAAGAGAATTCAGAGTAATCAAACTGAAAAGGAACTCAAAATCCTGCCTTACAAAAAATGTAATGTGAAATGGCTTATTTGGGGTTGCTCATGTGTTATTATTTAAACTTTGCATCCTGAAGAGATTGGTATACTCTAGAAATTTAGTTCATCTTTACCTTCCCTCTTCCCATCCAGAAGAATACTTCTATTCTTGCATGAGTCTTCAAACCTGTCAATTAGCAATGCAGGATTTTTTCCATTTTATTGGCATTTACTTCCCATGGATTAGCATTTTTTTTAAATAACACCAGAGTTGGATTGGACTAATATATAAATGTGAGCAAAATCTACCCTTCTGGGGGAAGATTGTGGATGTGTATGTGCCTCATGGCCTTCTCCTCTCTAACACAGTATCTACTGTGGACTCCATAGTCGCCAAACCACGATTCTGGTATACAATTTATGCTCTAAACTCCCTTGCTGTATTTGGTATTATAATATCTTCTGATTCTTTTAGCGACAGTAATGTCTAGAAACTAAAGACTATTGTTTATCTTGAAGACATAAGCAGCTATGTAGCTCATTTTAAAGTTTGCTTCTCAGACTTTGACCATTGAGTTGTCTTGTACACAATTTTTTTATGGCATTAGCCTTGACTCTCCTTAATGTGAAATTGACAATTTGGTGCGGATTTTTAAACACTTTAAGTTCAGGAGAAAGTTGTTACTTTTAAAAATTTTTTATGGGTACATAACAGATGTAATTATTTCTGGGGTACTTGGAATGTTTTGATACAGGCATGTATGTGAAAAAAGCAGGATGGAGTAGAGAAAGTTTTAATAAACAAGAAACCTCTGCAAATAACAAGTTATTAACAGTTATATTCCATGGGATAAGAAGTTTGTCGATATTTACATCCCTTGTATTAGTAACTAATACCCATAAGGAAATTCTGACTCTAGATTATATTTGCTTACATTCTTTCAGATGGAATGTTTTAATGGATTATTGCTACACAACCCCATCAGGAAACCCAAATGATGACATTCGATATGACCTCTTCCTTAGGTAAGACTTAGCTGTCTAAGTATTGTATTGATACCAAAGACCCAGTTGTAGGTAATTGAAATGGAAAATCTAAGTCAGGTAAATTATAAAGCACTATTATAGCTTATGAATTTCAAGTTTTACATTTTGAACTTTGAGCCCTTATAAAACTGAAAGTATAAAAGTCAAGAGTAGTTTTCAACACAAAATAGTGATAAGGCTATTGCTGAATCAGAGTTGTAAGTTCGGTCCACCAAAGATGTTTTATTCATGTTTAGGAGGTATGGGAGTATTTCACTGTCTTAGGAAAATCATGGTTAGGATATTATTCTCAAGAAAAGAAAGGCAATAGAGGTTACTATTTATCTGCAGCTAGACTATCTCGTATGTCAAAAGGAGAGTAAAATTAAAGCAATGGTCTGGATAATTTAGACCCCAAAATACTTTTGTTCATTTATCAGTATTTAGTATAAAACTATAATATAACCTACCACTCCTTCTTTTATTAGAGACAATAACTTCAACCTCGTTCCCCAATAGACAGTGATAGAGTGAATGTAATCTACATTTGGGGAAAGAGGACATTGATCATAAAACCAATCACCCTAGTTCCTTTTCAGCATTTTTATCTGACAGCAGAACAGACTGGAGAGTCAAGCAATGTCTTCTAATCATGCTTATAAAATGCAGTTGGCTCAGATCACTGCAGCTTATTGACACATGATGGAAGTAATATAACGGGAAACCAAAAGAATACACTTTATTGGCTAATCAAGAGCAAGACGATGTACAGAGGGTATGGTCAAACTGTTACTCTTACATATCCTATTTCTGGAAATGTTACTTTGGGCAACATTTTGGGGAAAAAAATGTCAGTATGTATCAAAAGCCTTAAAAGTATCATATTCTTTGATTCCAGGTTTATAAATTGTGAAGTATATTTAAAAATATTTATGATGTTCTGGTCTATCAGTGATATTTAAAGTAGTAGAACATGGGAAAAAACTGTATATTCAGCAATAAGGAAAGAGCTAGGTGAATTATGGACAACGAGTAAGTTGAGAGTCCATACAGGTATTACCTTCATATAAAGTTACATATCAGATAGAAAAAAATGGTTAGCTTTCTCTTACTTTCTTTCTTTTTGCCTTATTGGTATTTCTATCTTTGAAAATATGTGATTATTTAACATTTAAAGATATTAAAATATCAAGGAAAAGGATCATCATATATAATTGTATGTATAACTTTAAAACTTTGGAATAAGGAAACTGTCTTCTGTCCAAATACTAGAAACCACAAAATGACATATTGAAAATGTCATTACATAAGAATAAAACTATACACACGCGTGCACACACACACACACACACACACACACACACACACTGTCCAAAGCCAAATAACAAACTGACACAATTTACAACTTATACAACAAACCAGTAAGTACTTTTTTTTTCTTTTTTTTTTTTTTACTGAACTGTGGAGTATATTTCATTAATATTTATGTAAAAGTAAAATCTTACTATTGTTTTAATAATAATTTTATTATTAAAATGATTTTGTTTTATTAAACAAAATTTAATAAAATTTTGCTTTAAGTTCTGGGCTATGTTTGCAGATCTTGCGGGATTGTTACATAGGTATGCATGTGCCATGGGGGTTTGCTGCCTCCATTCCCGCATCACCTATATTAGGTATTTCTCCTAATGTTATCCCTCCCCAGCCTTTCCACACCCTGCTATCCCTCCCCTAGACCTGCAACCCCCAAAAGATCCCAGTGTGTGATGCTCCCCTCCCTGTGTCCATGTGTTCTCATTGTTCCATACCCACCATTGAGTGAGAACATGCAGAGTTTGGTTTTCTGTTCTGGCATCAGTTTGCTGAGAATGATGGTTTCCAGATTCATTCATGTCTCTGCAAAGGACATGAACTCATCTTTTTTTATGGCTGCATAGTTTTCCATGGTGTGTATGTGCCACATTTTCTTTATCCAGTCTATCATTGATGGGCATTTGGGTTGGTTCCAAGTCTTTACTATTGTAAACAGTGCCGCAGTGAACATACAGGTGCATGTGTCTTCATAATAGAATGATTTATAATCCTTTGGGTATATACCCAGCAATGGGATTGCTGGGTCAAATGAAATTTCTATTTCTGGGTCTTTAAGGAATCACTGTCTTCCACAATGGTTGAACTAATTTACACTCCCACCAACAGTGTAAAAGTTTTCCTATTTCTCCACATCCTCTCCAGCATCTGCTGTCTCTTGATTTTTTAATGATCGCCTTTCTAACTGGTGTGAGATGGTATCTCAATGTGGTTTTGATTTGCATTTCTCTAATGACCAGTGATTATGAGCATTTTTTCATATGTTTGTTGGCCACATAAATGTCGTCTTTTGAACAGTGTCTGTTCATACCTTTCACCTACTTTTTGATGGGGTTGTTTGTTTTTCTCTTGTATATTTGTTTTAGTTCTTTGTAGATTCTGGATATTAGCCCTTTGTCAGATGGGTATGTTGCAAATTTTTTTCCCCATTCTGTTGGTTGCTGGCTTGCTCTAATGATTGTTTCTTTTGTTCAGAAGCTCTTAAGTTTAATTAGATCCCATTTGTCTATTTTGGCTTTTGTTGCCATTGCTTTTGGTGTTTTAGTCATGAAGTCCTTGCCTATGCCTGTGTCCTGAATGGCTTTGACTAGGTTTTCTTCTAGGGTTTTTATGGTGTTATGTCTTATGCTTTAATCTTTAACCAATCTGGAGGTAATTTTTGTATAAGGTGAAAGGAAGGGGTCCAGTTTCAGCTTTCTGCACATGGCTAGCCAGTTTTCCCAACACCATTTATTAAACAGGGAATCTTTTCCCCATTGCTTGTTTTTGTGAGGTTTGTCAAAGAGCACATGGTTGTAGATGTGTGACACTACTTCCAAGCCTCTGTTCTGTTCCATTGGTCTACATCTCTGTTTTGGTACCAGTACCATGCTGTTTTGATTACTGTAGCCTTATAGTATAGTTTGAAGTCAGATAGTGTGATGCCTCCAGCTTTGTTGTTTTTGCTTAGGATTGTCTTGGCTATGCAGGCTCTTTTTTGGTTCCATATGAAGTTTAAGGTGATTTTTTGCAGTCCTGTAAAGAAGGTCAATGGTAATTTGATGGGGACAGCATTAAATCTATAAATTACTTTGGGCAGTATGGCCATTTTGACGATATTGATTCTTCCTAACCATGAGCATGGAATGTTTTTCAGTCTGTGTCCTCTCTTACTTCCTTGAGCAGAACCACTCTTCTTAATACATAAAAGAATTTACAAGAATAAGAAAGTAAAAAGCTAACAACACAACAAAATTTGGGCAAAGCACATAAATCATTTTCAGATAAAGAAATACAAATGACTCTAAGTTATGTGGAAAGATACAGAAACTCATTAATTATAAGACAAATATAAATTAAAATTATAGGTTGATAGTTCATTTTTACTCTCAAATAGGAAGTAATAAAAACTTTTATCCATACACTTTGCTGATGTAGCTCTGGAGAAGTAAGCATCGTTTTCATGTATTTCTTGTGAAGTCCCAAATGGAACAATATTTACAAAGGGCAATGTGCCAATATCTATTAAATGATTCTAGAGATGTATTTTGTAGATAATCCTGTACATGTTCAACATGAGATATTGCAAGCCGATTCATTATTACTTTGTTTTTAAAAGCAAAAGATTCAAAAAAATGCATGTACATGAATAGAAAACAGATTAAATAAACTCTAAAACATGTCCATGATGAAATACTATACAGCTGTGGAAAAAGAATGATGAAGCTTTCTAAATATTGATACAGGTAGATCTCTAAGGTAGACTGCTAAATCTTTAAAAGGCAAGGTACAAAACAGTGTAGGCAATATGTTCTAATTTGTTTAAGGAGGGAGGACAATAAGAATACATTGCTTCTGTTTCTATTTTCATATATGCTGGGAACGATGTGAAAATAAATGAAAATAAGTGTGAATGAAAATAGATGTGAAAATAGGTGAGATCACTGCTGGCAAGTTTCGATGTATTTTAAATTATTTGGAGTTTTGAACTATATGAAAGTATAATTCTACAAACTATTATTGCAATCAGAAACTGACCTGTTTCTATTTTATGAACCAGGTTGTTTTTGTCATGTCTGTTGAATTGGCATATGCTCTTATTAAATATCTGTAACATGGCATGGTTCTGTTAGCTCTTAATGTAATGGCAGGTTCTTAACACTGTAGAAATTAATTTACAAGTCCCAGTAGGTTGGTACTTTCCAGTGATGTCCTGTTTGCACATCCCCTAAAATTTAGCTGTGACAAAGATCCTCAGACCACCGTCATTGAGAATGGCCGAAGCCAGCGGGGCCGGTTTTCATTTGAAGTGTTCCGATTTGTGAAACACAAGAATCAGAAAATGTCCACTGTGTTCCTGCACTGTGTTACCAAGCTCTGCAGAGCGGATGACTGCCCCTTCCTTATGCCGGTATGTTTTTAAGGAACTTTATTCTAAGTTGTTGAATTGATCTGAGCTGAACCGTTACCAAATGTCAGAAACTAATTTCTGCATAGAAAGTGGATGTGTGTTAGGTCAAATAGTTTGATGTAGGATTTATTCATTTGTCTAGTAAAGGTCTGCTAAACATCCTACTTTGTGCCAAGCATTATACCGAGGATAAGAGATGACGTCTGCACAAATTCTGAATTTAATTATATTATCCTTTAGGATCATGAGATAGTCACAGAAGAAAGCAAGATAAAAATCTTATGGTGCAAAGGCAGACAAATACATGGGTTGTAGTAAGAGGTAGTATTCACAATTGTGAGAGAGATGAAACAGAAGAGGCTGAGAGGATTGGTGGAGGAGATGAACTTCAGCTGTTATCTGAAGATGGCTGAACCCCAAAAACCAAAATCAAGAGTGTGAGAGATATTGCTGACCAAATGATGGTCAAAGACACAGACGCATAAATTAGTGTGATCAGAGAGGTTCCAGTTCTTCAGCAGGGCTTTAGAGCACTTTAGAGATGGTTGGAAAACCTGGGGAGGGAGAGGACTGGGTTGGTGCTAGAAAGGTAGATTGTGGCTGGATGGTCAGAAAATCACTTAAATTAAAAGTTAAGAGCAGCCCAGCCCGGTGGCTCAAGCCTGTAATCCCAGCACTTTGGGAGGCCAAGGCGGGCGGATCACGAGGTGAAGAGATCGAGACCATCCTGGCCAACATGGTGAAACCCTGTCTCTACTAAAAATACAAAAAAATTAGCTGGGCTTGATGGCGCACACCTGTAGTCCCAGCTACTTGGGAGGCTGAGGCAGGAGAATTGCTTGAATCTGGGAGGCGGAGGTTGCAGTGAGCCAAGGTCATGCCACTTCACTCTAGCCTGGCACCTGGTGACGGAGAGAGACTCTGTCTCAAAAAAAAAGAGAAAAAAAAAGTTAAAAGCAATGAAAGGTGTGCATCTGAATTGCATACAGCCACCATTAACATAAAGCTCTATTTAATATGAATAAAAAAGTTCTATTCTGACCAGCTGTCTAGGGTCACATCATTATTAACCTGAGAAAAATGCAGGCCCTTTTTAAATTTGAAATACCATTAATATGTTTATATTTATGTTCAATTCATGCATAAATGGGAAGCTATTTTTTCATGCTCATTGATCCCTTTGGACTAATAAGCTATGTCAGATGGGGGTAAATGGTGAGTCCACATTACCTTGAGTCCATGCTGACCAGCATTTCCGGGAAGGATTTATTAAAGGCTTGAGAGAAATAAAAGGAGAAAAGTTTGCTAAACACAGCACTTTTTCAAGAGAGCCATTGAGCTATGCAAATTTATGAGGCAGAGCACAATTACAGCAGGAGGAAATAGGAAATGTGGCCCACACCTGGGTAACAAACACTGTCGCGGTTACATGCAAAGTAATTAAATAAATTCATGGAAGTAAATGAATAAAATTAAACATGTGGTATCTCTTCCAAAAGAACCTGCTTTCCAAATGGCCATAAAGAAACAATTCTGTACCGGTGTGGAATTTCATTTGTTTTCGTTAACACCTCAGATTTGCAGCCACAGAGAAAAGAGAGATGCTGGGAGGAGGTCGACTTGGAGCCCCCAGAGCTCTTCCGGCAGCGCGGTGCTCTCTGCTGGTCCCATCATTACTCGGAGTGGTAGGAGTGCTCCTCCTTCTGTATGTAGTAATAGACGATTCCAAAATGCCTCGTTACTTGGCTTCTAATGAGAAGTCAAAGTGGTTCCTAAACAGCACTAATTAACTGTGAGACAAGATAAATGGCTAAGCAACTTTAATTTCACAGTGGTTTTCCTGTTTACTCAACTTTCACACAAAGAGCAATGTTGTTTTTACTACATTTCCTGTTTACACACACACACACACACACACACACACACACATGCACACGCAGGCACGAAATATAAAGGGATATAGAATTTGTAGATTTGAGTGTGAACCCAGAGTTAATACGAAGATGCAGTGTAAAAAAATCAGAAACTAAAGCCAGAAAAACTGGTTCTAGGTTTAACTTTTGTTCTAACAAGCTAATGTGACTAGAGATTTTACTTCATTTCTCTGGGCAAATATTTCTTCATTTTTAAAATGAAAGTTTTAAAAAGTAGCCTTTAAGATATTTTTCTAACTCCGTAGTTCTAAATCTGTGTCATAAAAGAGAATAATTCTGATTCAGATTATATGCTAATAATGTTTTCTCCATTTTATATCAGCCTTAATGCTGTTATTATGTTTTAGTTATATTTTCGGTACCTTTTCTCCCATGCTGCTCATCCCACAGTCAAAAGAAAGTTTTGCTTCAAATAGGCAAAACAGCAAAAAGTGATTTTGGCCCAAAAAATTCAGACAAAGTAATTAAAATTGCTTTAATTACTTTCTTCCTTGTGTTCATGTAGACATAACATTATTTAGAAACAAACTAATCAGGCTTTTCAATAATGCAGAGACGTATTAAATATGAAATTTCAAACTTAGTCCATACTCTCTGAAGATTTTTGGTATGTGCTTCCACTGGTTTAAAAATGACTCATTTGTGGCTTGTGAAAGGCCCAATTTTGATCTCTATCTAGCTGTGAGAAATAGCTCATAGAATTACATTGAATGAAAACTCAGTTCTTGTTGCGGATAGTTAGGATTGCTTTTGGGTAGGCACAAGAAAAGAGATTCTTATTTCCATGGAGCTTATCTAGAGCCAGTTTGGTATAAGAAAACAACTATTAAAGTGACATTTCTTCTGTTCATCTTGGGTAGATGGCTTTTCCTCCTTACCCTCCTACTTCCTTCTTGCCTATGCCAAATTAAGTATTACAAATTTTAAATAATTTGTTAGCTGTATTCATCCATTCTTATGCTGCTAACAAAGACATACATGGGACTGGGTAATTTATAAAGAAAAAGAAATTCAATGGACTCACAGTTCCACATGGGTGGGGAGTCCTCGCAATCATTGCAGAAGGTGAAGGAAGAGCAAAGGCATGTCTTACATGGTGGCAGGCAAGAGATCGTGTGCAGGGAAATTGCCCTTTATAAAACCATCAGATCTCGTGAGACTTACTCACTATCATGAGACCAGCATGGGAAAAACCCACCCCCATGATTCAGTTACCTCCCACGACCTGTGGGAATCATGGGAGCTGTAATTCAAGGTGAGATTTGGGTGGGGACACAGCTAAACCATGTCATTAGTATAAAATAATTTTTAAAAATACAAAAAAAAAAAAATTATAAGACCCCCGAAATTCCAGTAAGGATAAATAAGTAGAAGTCTCTAATTCTAATATAACTAACCAGCTGTCCAAGTTTATAGGTTTCATCCATCCCATGTCTAGTTGCCCAAAATATCTATGTTAACACCACTAAGAGGTATCAAAATGCCTCTGATGTCATGCCTGGATTTCTTTCTGATTTTCAAATCCCTTTCCACCTCAAGAATGTCATTTATTGCCCAACATGCTAGAGTTGTCCCAGAGTCACCTTGGGTTTCTCCACTGGCAGAGCACCCAGAGGAGCACACTGACACTTTCAGGGTCCCCTTGAATCCTCTCTCATTCTGTCTGGAATTATTTTTGAGTAATTTTGCTAAATAACATTTTGTCATGGTCTTCATTTTTTGGTGATCATGGTGGTCTCAATACTTAGAGGAACATATATAACAATGTTTACATTGTAACACTATGATACCCATGAAGAAATATATGTTTTAACATTCCACATGAACACAGAACTCAGAACTCAAGCCATATCCATCCACAGGCAAATCCTGTACAAACTTCGTGTTCAGCTTCATGACCAGAGCTACCCTCTTTCGTTAGTTCCATTTTATCAGCTAGAATTTATCTCTCCAGGTCGTGTGGCCAATTTTATATAGACAAGTCCAGTGTCAGGCTTGATTTGCTCTTTTCCAAGCTCTCTGATACTTGGAGGTTTTGCTCTGTTTGCTCATTGAACCGCTTCTTTTCCCTTGACATCTAGCTTAGGTCAAGTTCAGTAAGTTGTTAAACTTCAGAACTCCTGTTTTGTTTTGCTTTTTAATGAAACCAAATCCATTCTGGCTATTTTTTACCCAACATTGTTGATAGTTTTTTTACTTTACTTAGGAAAACCTTCACATCCTCCAAAGACAAACCACAAGAAAAATTTCCAAAGTATTTTTATTTAAAACTTCAAAGTGCTATCTTCTCACTCATAGGTGGGTGTTGAACAACGAGAACACATGGACACAGGGAGGGGAGCATCACACACTGGGGTCTATCAGGGGGAAATAGGGGAGGGACAGTGGGGGCTGGGGAGTTGGAGAGGGATAACATGGGGAGACATGCCAGATATAGGTGATGGGGAGGAAGGCAGCAAAACACACTGCCATGTATGTACCTATGCAACAGTCTTGCATGTTCTTCACATGTGCCCCAAAACCTAAAACACAACAAAAATGTATATATAAAAATAAAATAATAAAATTTTTTTTTTAAGAAAACAACAAAACTTCAGAACGCTAAAAGTGCTTAGGTAGGGAAATGCTGATCAAAGAGTCAATTCTGGAAATCTGAAGCACTGCCAGAAAACAATACCTAATTGTTTTGTTTACTTAAATTCCTGCGGAGAAACCCAAGTGGTATTCTTGTCCAGCTAGTATTGTTGAATTTTGTGAGTAGTTAATAATTCATTTGCGCATACCTGTATAGTCCCTACATGGGACTAGCACTGTTCTAGGAGCTGGGAGTACGATAGAGAGCAGGCCACAGACTGTCCTCAGGGATCTCAGAGTTCAGAGGTAGGAACAGACTATTAACAAACATAACACGTGAAAGGAAAAAGGTTGGAGCTTATTAACTTGAAATGTGTGGTCCATTTTACTACATAGGTTATTGAATATTTTTTTAAGAAATAGTTTTCTAGTGCGAAGAGAAAAAAATTATTCCGCATATATCTTTGGTGGTCGTTTTTTCTGTTTATTTCAACTACTTATATGAGAAAGCAGAGAATGACAATTTATCTGCCACTTGTGACTTTCAAATGGCTGTGGCATTGCTGCTATGACCTTTCTCCTATAGGCTCTCAGATAGATAAATATACTCCTGGAGAGCCCAAAAATTTGGTATTCCAATCAGTTCTAATTCCAGAAGGCTTCAGGTGTTTCTTTTAGCATTTATGTACATGTCATGACCAAGTGGGTTTGAGGGAAAAAACAAGTCTCCTGAAAAATGCCCACCTTCCTTTGCAAGGCTAGGCAGTGCTTTGATTTTTTGTTTGTTTTTTGTTTACAATAATACAAAAATCGGAGGCTACCAGAAATATCAACTAGATAAAGCAATTCTCTCTACCTTTATCCACTATCAAATACAATTCCAAATAGTATTCAAATATCACAGGTTTCAATTTCAACCACCTGCCAAAGATAGCATGCTTTCATTTTTCAGAGTCCTGGAATCTGGATTTTGTGGTTCCAGTCTCATTTGGAAAAGGGAGTGTCTTGTCCCCACACAGGGAGATTTTGTCCACAGCCACGTCCTCATTTGTGACGACTGAGATATTGTTTCTATAGAAGTGTTGGTGGTACTATGGGGAGTCGGGGGAATAGTCTGACTTTTGTTAACCTTAGCATGCAGAAAATAGCAGGGAGAGCATCTAGTCACAGCACTTTTGTCTTATTTGGGACACTTATTAGAAAGGAACTTTCTAATTTTTAGTGGAAATATTTTAAAACAATTAAGTGTGATTTCTATAAAAGGAATAGCTTTTAAAAAGAAATTTTGGAGCCTTATATATTTTCCTCCTATGTTCCAGTGAAGCAACTCATCTTGGGAAAAGAGCACTTGGATATTTTGGAAGAATTGATAATAGTCCATTCATCCCACCTGTTTCTATGAGAGGCAGTGTTAAAAAGTAGTGTTGGTTAGAGGTTAGGATTTTTCTCGATGTTCTATAATAAAAATATTTTTTATTTTTCTTTTTGTCCTATAGCAATGCATTGCAGCATTCTAAAGAATCCTGAGTGCTGTATTAATTTTGAGCATTATACTTCAGGGTCAGACAGCAGAACCATTGTTTCTGCCAAAATTTATGTCTCTGAAAATAAATGGAATCAGATATTTTATAAATACCTTACCAGGTTCTCTCATTACTTGTTTTAAATATTAATCCTAAAGTTTCATAGCTTAAGAGACTCATCTCCATAACCAGAAATATTTTTCATACTTGCTCAGCTTATATTATTTTAGAAAAAGGACTCTGAAACTGAGCTTTAAGCATATGTTTACTCTGTCATAAAGGCTGTGACAGATGGAAATTGCTTTATCTGTAAAATGGGAGTAACAATAATATCGAAACCATATGGCTTCTGTGAGAATGAAATGTGATAATATATGAAACAGCACTTTGTGAGCTATGTGGTTTTATACACATATTGATTGTAATAATATTTATACTCCAGAAATAAACAGTCAATGGCATACATTTTATGGTTCAAATAACAAACACAAATATTAAAACACAAATATGAAATTATTTTTATTTCAAATATGAAATATGAGCTTGTTCAAGCTCAAGAGTTAATAGCACATGATGACAAATTGGACAACAAAAATTGGGAAATCAGGTAATATGTTCATTACATCTGTTATTGTCTTTGCCAGGGAAAAGTGAAAAATCAACAGCTTCAATCTTTTACTTAACAGATGCAAATAAAACTACAACTCGAGCTCAGGAGTCATGTTTTCCTTTCATATAGTTATTAAGTGTAAATTTATCTTCTTGGAACTTAAAATGATGTGTTTGCAGATTATGTTGGGCAAATTGGCAATACTTAAAATAGAGTGGCACTAAATAATGAATATTCTGTAGAAAAGAATAATAAATGGCAGGTTACAGGGCCATAAAAAATGTAATAGCTGTTAACAATTACTGCCCCCACTGACCTGACTGGAGAGCTAATGATGAAACAGAGTTGGCAGGCAAGAATACAGCACAGTATATATTTTGTCGATTATGTTTGCATACCCAGGGCAGGGGCAGGATGTGGGCTTGGATGAAAGATGGTGAAATCGGAGACATAGGAATCAGGGCATGGAAAAGCAGAATGGTTTAGGAGGACTTTCGTTTTTGTCTTACTCAAGGAGATCATGGGTGGAAGTAAGAGGAGACGTAGGTAAAATGTAGGTACAAAGTAATTATGAATCAGAATAAACAAAGGTAAATATTTAGAGAGACGATGTCACTTCTCTTTTCCTGTTTTTCCCCTCAGATGAGACTCCAACCAACAATTCACAACTTGGTAAGATAATTAATGTATTTTGCTATGTTTTTTTACATTTTTCATGATCAGTTCCAAAGTTACAATCATTTAAGTGTACTGAGCTCGAGTTTTACAAGTTTGGTGCATTTTAGGTAACAGTTCACTGAGGGGTTTTGAACTCATGTGGTCTATTGGTCAATTTTTTAGGATTTGACAGCTTTTGTGTATTTTTGGCTTTGGCTGCCCATGGACAGCCTCTAAACCTTACAATCCTTTGGTATGGGGTTGAATTAAAGTCAAATAGACTGTAGCAAAATTCAGTGCCATGCTACTATGCTATAAGATGTGGATGAAAGGTTTTGCAGGTAAAATTGGCGCCTTTACAACTGGGTGTGTTTCATTACTTGCAGGTTCTCCAAGCGTGCCTCCTTTCCAGCTGAACGCCATCACCAGTGCACTGATATCAGGAATAGTCATTCTGGGAGTTACAAGCTTTTCTCTTCTTCTATGCTCACTGGCCGTTCTGCACAGGAAGGGACCCACCAGTTTAGTGTTGAATGGCATAAGAAACCCAGTCTTTGACTGACTGTAACAGTCAGTTATAGTTATAGACTGAATTTCATGTCAGTCAGCATTCAATATTTGTAGGTTTGATAAATTTCACAGTGTAGTGTGTCAGTATAATGATAGTGAAAGAAGTTTATAATATTGCTCTTGTCACTTATGTGTGTGGCCAGCCCTATTTTTATGCCACCAATGAATATACTAAGTGAAAAATATGCAGGACTTACAGGATCAGTAATATTTCATTTTCTTTCAATTTTCTTTTGATTGTTGGCTAAAAGATAAAAGGTGGGAGTAGACAAAAAATGAAATGTGTTGCAATCCCCCCTTAAGCATTAAAGCCCACGACAATGGCATTTAGATTTGCACATGTGGTCTTAGGATAAATGTTGCTTTTTGTTTTAATCCAGATATTCTCAGCTTGGGGATGTGTTTTAATTGGACTGGCCAATTTGGATACCTGAGATTTAACTACTCATTCTATGACCTCCTGTGTTTTTGGCTGATTTCCGTGTCTGACAATATTCACTTTAAAAGAAACTCTTGGGATACATATCTTAACCTGGGGTGTCCTTTTGCATAGAAGATAGTGAAAATACTTGTTAGCTTCCTAGGTAATACTAAGCGGCCCCAGATCATTATTCATTAGAATAGGAATGGTGTGCTCAGTTGTCTTCTTTTGGTTCACTTGAGAACATCGGCACATGTTACTTCTCCGCTAGGTAAAGAGTTCAGCTGCTGTTGCAGCTGTGCTTCCAGCAGTGAGGTAGCTGTGCAAAGATTATTTTTAATTCAAGAATCATTACATGTGAAAACAAACTGTAGTTGTGAAAAGAGAACATTATCATCAGCTCATAAGTATCCTGTTCCTGGAAGGATTTTTAACAATTTAGATTCCCCTTTTCCTGAAACAAAAGGAAACAGGTTAAGTGCAGTTTGTAGAACACTGTTAGAATCTACATAAAAAGATATTCTTTTCTCCCATATTTTTGATGCCAGGCAATACAAATAATCAGGAGAGGGTTTCTTTTTAAAGTATCTTCTTGTAGGTGCTATAATTGCCATGAATAAACAATATTTTCTTCTAATAGTAAACTGTAAGAAGCATTTGATCCTTTGTCAGTTTTACAAAAAAGCAAATTTTAAGCAGTCCATGTTCTTACAAAAAAAAAAAAATCTTTTCTTTGTTCAAGCTACCTGTGCACTGAACAAATAAAACAATTTAATAGCCAACACCAAAACCCAGCCTGTGAACTTACCAGAAGTGCCGTGTTAACTATAAGCAATTGCTGTAATAACTAATTTCTATTCAACATTTGTGACCCATTAGTTGGGACTTAATTTATTATACTCCATGCAAATCATGAAGCAATATTAGATTGCTTTAAATGAAATGTCTACACTATGAGTTTGTAATTAAATCAATCATCAAGTTGAAAAACAATTTTTTCTCCAATTTGCGTGAATATTTCAGGAGAAAGTGTTTATATTGCAATAATTAGCTGTATAATTGCATCAACTTTGTATTTCAAGGTGTAGACGCAAAGTGAAGTGAGATCTGGAAAGTCTCTGGATAATTTCTTCAATGCAAAAATGTTTAAATCACATAAAAAACTAATCTACTTTTCCTTGTGTTACTTCAAAATAACTTTGAAGTGACTATTCTGAACTTTATCTGTGTTAACATCATTAACTGAGCATACTACTAATGTGACCCTATATGTACATGGATGGTGTAGAAATATGCTAGTAAATCTGTTTCAGATACTTTAAGTGAATTGCCATGATTTTAGGATTAAGTTCTGTGAATAGGACATTATATCATTTAAGCTGTTTTGTCAATTTGATTTTTATGCTTTTGGAATGGATGCTGTTTCAGCTGTTAACCTTTTAAATTCTATACACCATTTTATAGAATTGAATAATGGACACATATCATTTGGGAAGTAACTTAAGTATCATATTTTTTGCCACCTTTCATCATAAATGGAAGAATCAGAGTTACAATGAGATAAACCAGGTCTGTTTTTTTTTTTTTTTTTTTTTTTTTTTTTTTTTTTTTTTTTTTTTTTTTTTTTTTTTTTTTTTTTTTTTTTTATAAACCTGAAGTTATGTGGAGTATTTAGTTATACTGAATTTTACAGTTATTATAGTGTGAAAAACCTTACAAAACATGTGCAAATGTTTCTTCAGTTGTAATACCTCAAACTGTTTTTTGCACTTCAGGGGTAAGGTCTGATGACATGTAAAAGGTGATTGTTTAATAAAATAATTGTAAATGAATATCTTTAAAATGTCAGCCTTTTTTTTTTTAATTCTTTCTGCTTTTAACATCCTATTCCCACTTTCACAGGTACGGAGGTCTCCAATTTATGATGGTTCTATTTACAATTTTTGACTTTAAGATGGGTTTATTCGAGTATTAAATGCATTGTTGAAGTGTGATTTTTTTCATGTATGATGAGTTTCTTGAGTCATGATGCCATTGGAAGTTGAGGAACATCTGTATGGAGAAAGATGTAGTTTAAAATAAGCTGCCTAATGTAACAGGGAAGGTTGGTGATCTCTGTGGGTAGATGAAGTCTGCCCTCTCAATAGTAAGCCCTGCGTTGGGAGACACGTTCTTGATATCAGCTGAAGGTAAGGAAGTACATCTTTTGTTGAGGTTGATCTCTAACTAAAATAGAACTTACAAGTTTAAAAACTTTGATTGGAACAGAAAAAACTGGAAAGACAAGGAGCTTGGCTTCTGTCCAGACTTTCAGTTTCCTAACTGCCAGCAGGATCTGGCTGTCTTTCTTTGTCTTGGGAGGGAGTTGGTAGGAAAGTGACACAGTGTTGAGGCAAAATCCTTTTCCTGATCCAGAGATAATCCAGTCTCACACAACTGGGCACTCCCCTCCACCCTTAAGTATTGACAATTAGCTTTGGGAGCCTCACAAGACATGATAGTTCATGAGGGGCATTGTCAGCTGCGGAAAATGTAAGGCCACTTTATAAAGCCTCAGAGACAGTAAACTTCCAGAAATGAAAATAGAGCAGGCGTTCATGGGAGACCCTGGTTTGTGAACACGGGGTATGAACATAGTATGAAGCATAGTTCGAGGAATTGAAATGGGATAGAGGGCCAGTACACATTTATTTTAGTTCCATATTTATAAGAAAAAGAGAAAGCTAATCATCGAGCAGTTACCTTTGGGAATGAGGTTCTTCAATTATTTACAAGTGGGGAAACATTTAAAATAAAACAATCTAGAGTCATAATTTGGGAAAAAAACTAAAAATACTTGGATAGTAACCAAAACAAACATCAGAGTGAGATGGAGCTGGTGTATCAGTCAGGGCTCCCCAGAGAAAAATAGTCTATTAGATATTGGTATATATGTTATATCTTGGATATTTAATATGTCAAATATCAGAGTGAGATGGAGCTGGTGTATCAGTTAGGGTTCCCCAGAGAAAAATAATCTATTAGATACTGGTATATATGTTACATCTTACACATATAATATGTATATGTGTTATACATATGTTTTATATATATATATATGTTGTGCATGTGTGTGTGTAACATAAGGAATTGGCTCACATAATTATAGAGACTCGGCAAGTCCTAAGAATAGAATCACAGTTGACAAGTTGGGGATCCAGGAAAGCCGATAGTGCAGTTCCAGTCCAAAAGCTGGCAGGCTTGAGACCCTGGAAGACCTGAAGTTCAGTGCAATCCAAAAGCAGGGAAACCAGTGTTTAAGTTTGAAAGGCAGGTAGGCAGAAGGAAATCACTATGATTGACAGGAGGGTCAAACTTTTCTATTCAGGCTTTCAATTGATTGGAGGTATCATACTGCTAGAAGACAAAACTTTCTAATCAGTCCAGTGATATTGGGCAATTAATAAACGTGTTACAAAATCTGACAGTGCAATTGAAATGATTTAAAAATATTTACTGTCTGGAGGTAAGGATAAGCGTTCATGAATTTAGGGTCCTCTTTTGTATTAGCTGAATAATATTGATCAAATGGGAGAAAGACAGGGCCATGAGTATGTGGGGAGTGATGAACTCTAAAGTTATGCAAAATTATTCCACAGCATCAAGAGAAACGGAGGACAAGGATGCATGGCCAGGTGGTATTTATTGGACCCATATCCTACAGGGTTGGCATCAGGGGTGGTGGTAGCCAAGGAGAAGAATTATGACATCACCCGTGACAACAGGCTAGAAGCAGTAAAGAACATCAAACAGCGTAGCTGAGGTAATAGGGGGCAAATGCAACAAGGGACTGCTGGACACTGGGAAAAGAGATCACTGCCACTTCTTAGGAGGAACTTAGTTCTTTCGTGGAAGACAGAACTAGAATCACTGACAGCTGTTACCCACATTCCTCATGATGGCTTCCTGTCCTCCTGAAGTTCAAAGGTAAGTGGAAACGGAATGAAAAAGTTATGTCTTCATGTTTGTGAGGATATCTTGCCTGATGGTTTATTGACAAACACAGTCTCTGAAAATTTGAATAACACAAGAAAACTAAATAGCCTTAATTAATGCCATGTTTTGCTGAGATAGCAGGAAGAAGATTGGTTTGGGGGCTTCTGATCATGTGGACTCGACACGGTCTTTAGAAATCTCTGCTCTATAATCTTCATTTATAAAATGCTTTGTATTCCTGGCAAAGTGAAATTGAGAACTCAGATTGTTATCTGCTTAGTTCAAATCTCCAATTCCCCTTTCCCTCAAGTATCTGGATACTTCCTTTTTTACTTAAATTGCCAACATAACTACTTCGATTTTCTCTTTCATTTTCTGTGTAGAAAGGAGCAGTGCTATCATTACATAGAGCTTTATTCAAAGGCAATGCAGACCAAATTTTGAGGTTAGTTTTCATCATGAGCAAAGCTTTGTTAGCATTGCCCAGAGCAAAATCCATTACTGAATAATCCTGCTGGTTTGTCTAATCAACTAACACTAGAAGATCTTGGGAGAGCCGTGGTTTGACAATTTCAGGCAACCCTGACTCAAAGTTATATGGGTCC